TCAATAACAGTAAGAAATGAGAAAATTCAAATATGTGGAAACTAAACAATACATGCTTGAATGACTATTGGGTCAAAGAGAAAATTAAAAGAAAATTTTAAAGTATCTTGAGACAAACAAAAATGAAAATACAACTTACCAAAACCTAAAGGTTGCAGCAAAAGCAGTACTGAGAGGGAATAAACACCTACAACAAAAAAAGAGGAAAGATCTCAAATAAACAACCTGACTTTGTATCTCAAAGCACTAGAAAAGAACAAACTAAGCATAAAGCTAGTAAAAAGGAGGAAATAATAGAGATTCAGGCAGACATATATGAAATAGAAAAACAATAGGGGAAAAAAACCCTACAAGTTGGTTTTTTGAGAAGATAAACAAAGTCAAGAAACCCTTAGCTAGCCTAAGTAAAAAAGAGAGCAGACTCAAGGTGCCTGCCTGGCTCAGTAGGTGGAGCTTGTGACTCTTGATCTTGGGGTCATGGGCTCAAGTCCCACACTGGGTGTAGAGATTGCTTAAAAATAAAACCTCTTTTTAAAAAAGAGAGCGAAGTCTCAAATTTTTGAAGTCAGAAATGAAAGAGGAGACATTACAACAGACACTTCAGAAATAAAAAGGATAAGGGAATATTATGAACAATTAAATGCCAACAAATTGGATAACCTAGAAGAAGTAGATAAATTCTTAGAAACATACAATCTAGCAACACTGAATCATGAAGAAATAGAAAGCCTGAACAAAAGGAGATTGTATTTGTAATCAAAACCCTGCCAACAAAGAAAAGCCCAGGACCAGATGGCTTCCTAAGTGAATTCTCAAACATTCAAAGAAGAATTAATACCAATTCTTCTTAAATTCTTCCAAAATAATAGAAAAAGAGGGAACACTTCCAAATTCATATTATGAGGCCAGTACCAACCTGACACCAAAGGGACCACAAGAAAAGAGAACCATAGGCCAACATCCTTCATAAACACAGATGCAAAAATCCTTGATAAAATACTAACAAAATTTAATAGCACATTAAAGATCATACACCATGACCCAGTGGGATTTACCCCTAAGATGCCAAGATGGCTCAACATTGGCAAATCAATCAATATGGTAAAACACATTAACAAAACAAAGGATAGAAAGTACATGATCATCTCAGTTGATGCAGAAAAACATTTGACAAAGCTCAATTTCCATTCATGATAAAAACTCTCAACAAAATAGGTATAGAAGGAACTTCCATCAACTAATAAAGGCCAGGGGAAAAAAGTCCACAGCTAATACCAAAATCGATGGGGAAAACCTGAAAGCTTTTCCTCTAAGATCCGGTACAAGGCAAGGATGCTAACTCTCGCCACTTCTGTTCAACGTAGTACTGGAATTTGTAGCCAGAACAATTAGACAAGAAAAAGAAATAGAAGGCATCTAAATTGGAGAGGAAGAAGTAAAATTATCTCTGTTTGCAGATGACCATGATCATATACCCAGGACACTCTGAAGGCTCACCCACAGCTCTTAGAACTAATACATGAATTCAGTCAAGTCGCAAAATTAGAAAACCAACGTATAAAAATAAGTCACAACAACAAACGACCCGAACGGGAGGTTAAGAAAACAACCCAGGCATGAGGCTGGTGACATGGAGGACAGGAGCTTTCCGACACGGATTCTGACATGACAGTGGCCCCCACTGATAGGCCGCTGCAGGGACCGAAAACACTAGGTGGGGATAGCACGGAGGCCCTTCCAGGGTACAGCAACGCTGGCATCACATTATCGGACTGTTAAAAGTGTGGATTCGAGGGAAGAGAGTTTTTCGGATACTGATGATAATAGCTCTCTTTGGAATTGCAAGCGACAGAAATGTTTTAACCCTTCTTCCAAACCAGAGTAGCGAGAAACCACCTGTTCCTGGAGAAGGTTAACAACATATGGGGTGCTGAGCTACAAGAATAGGATCAAGGTGCAGTAGCCACTGAACTTGGTATTTTGGGAATGGAGGGTGCTATTGACAGAAGCAGACAATGGGAGACCAACTGTCATTTGCTTGCTAGAGGAAATCTCAAGAACATACAACGGCATTAGACAAAGCCCTAGATGAATATAGGCACGGTGGCAAAAGAGTGGGATCAAAGGAAGAGGAAAGTGGGCGAGGTCATCACATACAGAACTGACCTGTTAAAGACAGGCCAGAAGACAGACTAGAAATGAACCCTAAAGGCTGGTAGCAGATCACAGAGGACGATTCCCAGTAGAAACTGGCTGATGAAATTTCTTTCAGGTTGTAGGAAATTTCTTTCAGGCTGCAGATCTTTCCAGAGGAAGATCTGATAGCACAAGTGGTAAGGATAATTGGGAACAAAAAGGCAACTGAACTTCTGATGGGAACTGCCGAAGTTGAGGAAAATGCTGGTCTTTTCATAATGAATGCTAGTCGGAGAGAGACACCAGGTGGGGTTTTCGTGGATCCTCTGAAAAACACTCCTAGTGACAGCAAGGAACAAATGAAGGACATTTTCTACATTGCAAATTAAAACAAGTGTGCATAGAGAAAGGCTGCTAGGAAGAGAACATAGGTGTTGGGGAACAAACATGAAAGAAGCTATTAAAAATCTAAATTTTTGGGACGCCTGGGTGGCTCAGTTGGTTAAGCAGCTGCCTTCGGCTCGGGTCATGGTCCCAGTGTCCTGGGATCGAGTCCCACATCGGGCTCCTTGCTTGGCGGGGAGCCTGCTTCTCCCTCTGCCTCTGCCTGCCATTCTGTCTGTCTGTGTGCTCTCTCTCCCTCTCTCTCTGACAAATAAATAAAAAACCTTTAAAAAAAAAATTTTTTTTTAAAAATCTAAATTTTCAAGATGACAATGCATCATGAGAAACTTTTGCAAGTGACATGAACGAGGCACTGACCTCTCTTGACGTTCCCTTGGAAAGCCACGCAGAGGCCAAGGCGGACATAGAGGCCGCTGAGGTTGATTGTTCTCACAATCTGGACTTCTTTTAGTCCATTTTGAGGAATAAACCTTTCTAAAATAACATTGTAATAAGCTGTTTCTACTGAGATTGCTTTGTTTCACTTTGCACGGATAAACATAAAAATCTGGAGAGAAAGACTTGTTTTCTTGTTTAAAATAAAATTGAATTTGTGGGGAGATGAATGCTATTTCTTTTTAACGATTTTATTTATTTATTTGAGATAGAGAAAGTGAGCAAGAGCTGGGGGTGGCGGGGGTTAAGTAAGGCAGAGAGAGGGAGAAGCAGGCTCCCCAATGAGCAGGAACCTCCGAGGGGCTGGATCCCAGGACCCCTGGGATCTCGACCTGAGCTGAAGGCAGATGCTCAACTGACTGAGCCACCCAGGAGCCATGGGAGAGGAATGTCATTGACAGAAACATTCTTCATGTCTGACAAAATACTTAAAGGCGCCTACCAGAGGATTTAATTTCTCAGTCTGTTGCATTTGGTAATTATGACTAGTCGATAATTCCTTTTGTCTAGGATATTGTAATATACTATTCAAAAATATGTTTTCTTTTTCTGATTTATCTGATTTATCCTTGCAGCAAATTATGATTGGTTTCAAAACATTCCATTAGAAGATCCTAATAAGGCACATAAATTGTTAAGCTATTATAAATGCATTAAAATTTAGTTTTTCTATGTTCTAAGAACTTTTAGGCCATTTTAAAGATAGAGACTAAAATTAAAATAGGTTTACACTGATGGCTCTTCCCACTTATTTGTCCAGAAGGAAATTAACATCAGAAGCTTTTCAGGGGCGCCTGGGTGGCTCAGTGGGTTAAGCCTCTGCGTTCGGCTCAGGTCATGATCCCAGGGTCCTGGGATCGAGCCCCTCGTCGGGCTCTCTGCTCCGCGGGGAGCCTGCTTCCTCCCCTCTCTCTCTGCCTGCCTCTCTGCCTGCCTCTCTGCCTGCTTTGTGATCTCTCTCTCTCTGTCAAGTAAAAAAAAAAAAAAAAAAATTAAAAAAAAAATTTAAAAGAAGCTTTTCAAAGATATATTGGTTCTTAACTTTAACTTTGTTTTTGACTTTTTAAAAAAAAAATTAACTCATTCATACACTAAATACTGAATATGATCCATACCAGTGTAATCGCCATGAAAATTTAAAAAATTCCCAGGGGGGGTGCACCTGGGTGGCTCAGCGGGTTAAAGCCTCTGCCTTTAGCTCAGGTCATGATCTCAGGGTCCTGGGATCGAGCCCCGCATCAGGCTCCCAGCTCAGCAGAGAGCCTGCTTCCTCCTCTCTCCCTCACTGCCTGCCTCTCTGCCTACTTGTGATCTCTGTCTGTCAAATAAATAAATAAAATCTTAAAAAAAAAAATTCCCAGGGTTTGCCTGTATAAGACTGTTTTACTTTATGTTTAAAAAGTTAGGTATTAAAAATGTTACCTTGGGAAAAAAGAAAAGGAAAGAAGAGAAGAGAAAAGAAAAGAAAGAAAAGGAAAACCAATCCCATTCACAACAGCAACAAAAAGAATAAAATACTTATGTATAAACGTAACCAAAGAGGTAAAAGACTGACAGGCTGAAATTATAAAATGGAGGAAATTAAAGAAGAATTGGATGAATGGAAAGATATCCCATATTCATGGATTGGAAAAATTAATATTGATAAAATGTCCATAATACCCAAAATTATCTATAAATTCAATGTAACCTCTATCAAAATCCCAAAAGTATTTTTTACAGAAATAGAAAAAAAATTTAACATTATTATGAAACAAAAGACCCCAAATAATCAAAGCCATCTTGAATAAGAGGAACAAAGCTAGAGGCATCACACTGAAATATATTTCAAAATATATTGCAAAGCTATAGTAATCAAAACAGTATGGTACTAGCCTAAGAATGGAGATATAGATCAATGGAACGGAATAGAGAGACCCCCCAAAATCCACACATCTATAGTCAATTGATTTTTGACAAAAATACTAATGAGGGAAAAGATATAGAGAACACTGGATATCTACAACAGAAGGATGAAACTGGGTTCAGTCGGATCCCGGCAGCAGCTGCAGTGGCTCTCACCTCTCCTGACTCTCCTTGCTATCTCCTTTTCGCTTCCGGAAACATGGCCTCCGGCGTGGCGGTCTCCGATGGTGTCATCAAAGTGTTCAATGACATGAAGGTGCGCAAGTCCTCGACACCAGAGGAGGTGAAGAAGCGTAAGAAGGCAGTGCTCTTCTGCCTGAGTGAGGACAAGAAGAACATCATCTTGGAGGAGGGCAAGGAGATCCTGGTGGGTGATGTGGGCCAGACTGTAGACGACCCCTATGCCACCTTTGTCAAGATGTTGCCAGACAAGGACTGCCGCTATGCCCTCTACGACGCAACCTATGAGACCAAGGAGAGCAAGAAGGAGGACCTGGTGTTTATCTTCTGGGCACCTGAGTCTGCACCCCTCAAGAGCAAAATGATTTATGCCAGCTCCAAGGATGCCATCAAGAAAAAGCTGACGGGAATCAAGCATGAATTACAAGCAAACTGCTACGAGGAGGTCAAGGACCGCTGCACCCTGGCAGAGAAACTGGGGGGCAGTGCCGTCATCTCCCTGGAGGGCAAGCCTTTGTGAGCCCCCTCCAGCCCCCTGCCTGGAGCATCTGGCAGCCCCAGACCCTGCCCATGGGGGTTGCAGGCTGCCCCCTTCCTGCCAGACCGGAGGGGCTGGGGGGATCCCAGCAGGGGGAGGGCAATCCCTTCACCCCAGTTGCCAAACAGCCCCCCTCACCCCCTGGACCTTCCTCTTCCCTCTATCCCTGACGTTTCTGGCCTTCCCAAACCACTTCTGATCTTCTGATTCCTCTTGGGTTGAAGCAGACCAAGTTCCCCCCAGGCACCCCAGTTTGGGGGGGGCCTGTATTTTTTTTAACGACACCCCAATTCCCCACCTGTTCCTCCCTTTTCCCATGCTGCCAACTTCTAACCGCAATAGTGACTCCGTGCTTGTCTGTTTAGTTCTATGTATAAATGGAATGTTGTGGAGATGACCCCTCCTTGCGCCGCCTGGTTCCCCTCCCCTTTTCCCCTGGTCTTGGCCACCCGTGGAAGCAGGACCAGTAAGGGACCTTCAATTAAAAAAAAACCAACACACACACAACAATAAAAAGGCTCACTAATGGGAAAAAAAAAAAAAAAAAAAAAAGAAGGATGAAACTGGACCCTTATCTCACACCATACACACAAATCAAGTCAAAATGGATTGAAAATGTAAATGTTAGACCCGAAACCATAACATTAATAGAAGATAACATAGGAAAGAGGTACATCGGTGTCTCAGTCAGTTGAGTATCCAACTCTTGATTTTACCTCAGGTTTTGATCTCAGAGTTGTGAGTTCAAGTTCTGCTTTGGGTTCTGTTCTGGGTGTGGAGACTATGAAAGAAAGAAAGAGAAAGAAAGAAAGGAAGAGAGAGAAAGAAAGGAAGGAAGGAAGGAAGGAAGGAAGAAAAGAAAGCATAAAGAAAGGAAGAAAGAAAAGAAAGCTTCTTCATTGGTTTGCACAATGATTTTTTTAGATGTCACCAAAAGCACATGCAACAACAGCAAAACATAGACAAGGGATTACCAAAATCAAACCAGAAGCCTTCTGCATGGCAACAGGAACAATGAACAGAGTGAAAAGGCAACCTGTGGAATGGGAGAATATATGCATAAGCCATATATCTGAGAAGGGGTTAATACCCAAAATACACATCCAAAAATCAAGAGCAAAGAAACCAATAACCCAATTATAACATGGACAAATGACCTGAATAGGTTCTCAAAAGAAGACCTACAGATGACCAACAGGTACGTAAAAGGTGCTCAACATCACTCATCACCAGGGACATGCAAACGTACCATGAGGTATCACCTTGCACCTACTAGAATGGCCATTGGCATAAAGGCAAGAGACAAGTATTGGAGAGGATGTGATTAATAGAAAACTCTTGCACACTGCAAATAGGAATGTACATTGTTTCTGCTGCTATGGAAAACAAAGGTTTTCCATAGATTCCTCAAAAATGAAAACAGAACAAACTTACGATCCAGGGAACCCACTTCTGGGTATAGAGCCAAGAGAAACACAATCAATACCTTGAAGAGATATTTGCTCTCCTGTGTTCACTGCAGCATTATTCCCAACAGCTAAGCTAAGGGAACAGCCTGTCTATAGATGAATGGACAAAGAAAATGCTGCACACACACACACGCACACACACACACACACACACACACACACTGGAATATTATTCAGTCTTAAAAAAGAAGGAAATCCTGTCACTTAGGATAATACAGATGAATCTGGATGACATTATGCCAAGTGAAATAAGCTTGAAACAGAAGGAAAAACACTGCATGACCCACCTCATATGTGGAATCTAAAATAGGCTCATAGAGGCAGGGAGAACGGTGGTTACCAGGTGCTGGTAGGAAGGGGGAAAGGGGAAATGTGGGTCAGAGGTAAAGCTCCAGTTATATGAATACGTTCTGCGGATCTAAAGCACAGCCACGTGACCGCGGTTAACAGTGTGTTGCGTACTTGAAATTTGCTAAGAGAGCAGGTGGTGAATGTTCTGGCCACAAAGGGGAGAGTGGTGACATGTGAGGTGATGGATATGCTGACTAATCCAACTATGATGACTGTTTCACAAGCAGACATGTATCCAAACATCAAGCTATACGAGCAAATATATATTCTTCTGTTTTTGTGTTTGTTTTAAATATATACTCTTTTTTTTTAAGATTTTATTTATTTGACAGAGAGAGAGAGATCACAAGTAGGCAGAGAGGCAGGAAGAGAGAGAGAGGGAGAAGCAGGCTTCCCGCTGAGCAGAGAGCCCGATGTGGGGCTCGATCCCAGAACCCTGAGATCATGACCTGAGCTGAAGGCAGAGGCTTAACCCACTGAGCCACCCAGGTGCCCCTAAATATATACTCTTAATTGTCAATTATACCTCAATAAAGATGGGGAGGGGGAATCAATAACGTGTGGCAAGTAAAACAATAAAGCTTTTAGAAGAAGACGCAGGAGACCACTAGCTGGAGAGGGTACCACACTGTATCCTGCTTATATGTCTCATTTAATTTGTAAAGTGTAAGCCCCCCTTACTATTTCCCTGTTGAAGGAACCAGGTTCTTTGTCTCTCAGAGTTTTCCACATTTTAGATTTTTCTGATGGCATCCCCATAGTACAGACCCATTTGGAATTCTGGTTTGAACAAACCAACTATTTTTTTTAAAGTTTTTATTTATTTGAGAGAGAGAGCAGGAGCAGGGGGGGCAGGAAGAGGGAGAAGAAGACTCCCCACAGAAGGCAAACCCTTCACCAGGAGCCTCCCAGCTACCCCCAAACCAACTATTTTTTAAAAAATCATAAAATTATCAGAGAAACTGGAACAGTAACTAGTATTCAACAATATTTTAAAAAGTTGTGTGAACTTTTTTATGTGTGACAGGGAATTACGGTTATGTTTTTTAAGGAATTCTCATGTTTTAGGTGTACCCACTGAAACATAATGGGACATTCCCAAGTAAGTAAGTCCCAGCAAGGCTGTGCTCGTAATGGTCCAAGAGCAGGCTCTCTGGCTCAGAGGTGTGGGGAGGGGAGCGCCGATTTGTCTTATTTGCCCATTTCCAGGATGTGAATGCGCACATCACAGTTCAGCTCAACTCCCAGCGGGACATCACTGAGCAGGGAGTGGGGAGGAGAGAGTACGAGCAGCCCTAGGCAGACCTGGAGACCCAGCATCAACATCACCGCGGAGCAGAGACAGGACTGGGTGTGAGTTGGTCTTTGCTGAAACGGAGTGATGTGTCCAAGGGGGTTCATCCTACTGCTCTAATGTTTTTATTGAGTTGTAATCGACATAACATCTTACTAGTCTCAGGTGCACAACAGAATGATTTGATACACGTATGTATTCCCAGATGGTCACCACAATCGGTTTAGTTAGAAAAAAGAAACCTTTTTTCTTTCTTGTAGTGACCACTTTTTTTTTTTTTTTTAAAGATTTTATTTATTCATTTGACAGAGAGAGAGATCACAAGTAGGCAGGGAGGCAGGCAGAGAGAGAGGAGGAAGCAGGCCCTCCGCGGAGCAGAGAGCCCGATGCGGGGCTCGGTCCCAGGACCCTGGGATCATGACCCGAGCCGAAGGCAGAGGCTTTAACCCACTGAGCCACCCAGGCGCCCCTGTAGTGACCACTTCTAAGAGCTACTCTCTTCGTAACTTTCAGACATACAATGGAGCCCTGGTAACTACCCTCACTGGGCTGTACATTTCAGCCCCGTCTCATTCTGTATATGCTTGACTTTTTAACTAAAAATTTAAAAAGAAGAACCCTGAATTGCAAGATTAAAATTTTTAGACCTTTTCATGTTACGGCTGATCAGTGCAGATAATTACGAATAGACATCACATGACCCCGTCCATGGTGCGTGACACAGAGTGTCACCAAGCGCTCCTACCCGCTCGACCCTGGTATAACGAGGTGCTTTGCAAAAGATAATGCAAGGGGCTCTCTCATCGTCCTCACTTTACAGATGAAGACATTGAGGAGAAAGCCATGCAATTTCCTTGGTTTACGCTCACACAGCCAGAAGTGGCTGAGTCGGGATTCAAATCCAGGTAGTCAGGCTTCAGAGTCTATGATTTTAAACTCTGGCCCAGGACACTTAATTTTACTTTATTTTGTTTTTTATTTATAATTTTGTTCTTTCCTTGAGTCATCTCTACGACCATCACGGGACTCTAACTCATGTACCCGAGGTCAAGAGTCACATGCTCCAAGAATGGAGCCGGCCAGGCGCCCCACTGAATTTTTTAAAAAACACCCCAAATGGCTAGATTGGAGATAAACCCGGTGATGCCGCCCACTGGCAGCATGCTGGTTAGGAGAACCATCTTCTCATCACAGATCTGGTGAGTGCCTCCGTCGGACAGAGCTAACCCGCTTGGTGGTGACCAAGACGGATGTGGCCCTTGTCTTCGGGCAGCATGTTCCTGCTGGGAGGCAAGCACATTTATTTCCAAAACGTGATTTCATTTCCATGAGGCCAAGTGGAGTGGGATAGAGAGGACTGTTGATATATATAGTTTGGGGTTAGTCTTTTATCAACATGGTGTTCTGGTAGTTTCTCTGCATTCATCCGTTAAGAGTGATTTTCTATATTTTACAAACACAAGAAACAAGTGTTGGCAAGGATGCGGAGAAAGGGGAACTCTTATGCACTGTTGGTGGGAATATAAGCTGGTGCAGCCACTGTGGAAAACAGCATGGAGGTTCCTCAAAAAGTTAAAAATAGAACTACCCTATGACCCAGCAATTGCACTACTGGGTATTCACTCAAAGATACAGAAACACGAATTCATGAGACCGAGCCCTGCATTGGGCTCTGTGCTCAGCACGGAGTCTGCTTGAGATTCTCTCTCCCTCCGCTCCTCCCCACCCTGTTTGCCTGCTCTCTCTCTCTCTAAAATAAATAAATCTTTAAAAACCCACACTTATTCAAAGGGATATATGCACCCCTATGTTTATTGCAGCATTATTTGTAACAGCCAAAGTATGGAAGCAGCCCAAGTGTTCATTGATAGATGGACATAGAGATGGAGATATATATTATATATATTATGTTATATTATATTATATTGTATTATATTATATAACATTATATATTGGACACAGGTGGAGATATATATTATATATTATATTATATTATATAACATTATATATTGGACACAGAGGTGGAGATATATATTATATATATTATATTATATGTATCAATCACATAAACAAGATGGATATATATATATATATATATATATATATATATATATATGGGAACATTACTTGGACATAAAAAAGAATGAAATCTTGCCACTTACAATGACGTGGATGGAGCTAGAGAGTATTATGCTAAGTGAGGTAAGTCAGAGAAAGATACCATGTGATTTCATTCACATATGGAATTTA